CAAGTCAAGTGCTTACCTTATGGCACCACACTGGGACTCCACAGGCACATCGGGTGCCACTTTTCCCATTACCCCAAATAACACATCTTAACAACTTAAGAGTGCTCCCCCACCACCACCACTTCTGCCCTTGGTAACCACCACTGGACACGGGTCTCTATTTTGTCTTCTTATAAAAGAGGGATCACACACTATTAGCCCTCACGTGCTTGACTTATTTCACTCAACATCATGCCCTCCAAGTCCATCCATGTTATAATATGTTTCACAGAAGCACGTCCTTCGTGGTTTTGTAGTATTTCATTGGATGTATGTACCACCTTTTTGCTTATCCATCCATTTGCTGATGGGGACATCGGTTGTATCCATGTTTTCGCTGTTGTAATAAAGCTGCAATGAACACTTGTTGTTGTTAGGTGCCTTCGAGTTGGTTCGGACTCACAGTAGTGACCCCATGCACAAGAAAACCAAGCACTGCCTGGTTCTACTCCAACGTCATAAACACAGCTAGACTTGACCCCACAATTGTTCCCACAGTGTCAATCCACTACGTTGAGGGTCTTCCCTTTTTTGTTGATCCTCCACTTTACAAAGCTTAATCTTCTTCTCCAGGGCCTGGGCCTTCCTGACGTGTCCAAAATATGAGAAATGAAGTTTCATCATCCTCACATCTAATGAACATTCTGCTGTACTTCTTCCAAGAAAGACTTGTTGGTTCTTCTGGCAGTCCATGGTGCTTTAAATATTCTCCTCCAACACCATAGCTCAAATACATCAATCCTTCTGTGGTCTTCCTTATTCACGGTCCAACTTTCACATACATATGAGGCTATTGAAAAGACCATGGCTTCAGTCAGGTGGCGCCTTAGTCTCCAAAGTGACATCTTTGCTCTTGAACACTTTTGCAGCACATTTGACTGATGACGTATGTTGTTTGATTTCTTGATGGCTGCTTCCACAAGCATTGATTGTGGAGCCAAGCAAACTGAAGTCTTTAACAACGTCAATCTTTTTTTCTGTTTATCATGATTCAATGAACATAGGAGTGCATGTGTCTATGTATGTCACTGCTTTTAGGTGTCTAAAGTATGTCCCTAAGAGTAGAACTACAGGATCAAAAGCCAGTTTGATTTCTAGTTTTTTAAGAACGCACCATACCGTTTCCCACGGTTGTTGGCGAGTGCTGTCGAGTCGATTCCAATGCATAGTAACACTGCACAGTTTCTTAGGAACAGCTGGTGGCTTTCAAACACAGACTTTGTAGTTCACAGTCCAGTGCTTATCTTACAGTGCCACACCAGTTGTTGCACCATTTTCCAGTCCTACCAGCAATGGATAAGGGCTCCCATCTTCCCACACCCTTGCCAACATTATCTGTTTTTATGGTTGTTCTTTTAAATCAGTACCATTGGGACTGGGATGAGGTGGTATGTCACTGTAGTTTTGATTTGTATCTCTCTTATTGTTGTTAGGTGCCATCGAGTTGGTACTGGCTCATAGCGACCTTATGCACAGCAGAAGGAAACACTGCCCGATCCTGGGCCAACCTCGCTACTGTAGCCACGCTTGAGTCCATCGATGCTGCCACTTGGCCAATCCATCTCGTTGGGGGTCTTCCTCTTTTTCTCTGACCTCTAGTGGCTAATAATTATGAGCATTTTCCCATCTTTCTGTATGATTCTTGGATGCTTAGATGTCTTTTTGGTGAAAGTTCTATTCATGCTCTTTGTTCGAATTATAATTGTACTGTTTGGTTTTCCATTGTTGAGTTATTGAAGTTTTCTAGAAATACTGGTGATTTTTATCTGATATGTCATTTCTGAGGATTTTTTTTCCCAGTCTGTAGGTACCCTTTTTACTCTTTTGATGAGCATACATTTTAAATTTGTAAGAGATTCCAATGATCTATTTTGTCTTCTTCCATAAAGATTAGACCTCATTGTTTTCTCCTTATGTTTTTTTTAATGTTTTATTGTGACTTAGATGATAGTTTACATGAGAGAACTTTAGTTTCACATTCATTCCATCGTACATCATCTCATTGCCATGGTTCCAATCCCCTTCATGCATCATCAACCAACCAAAGGGTATATCCTAAAAACCCGCCCCCTATACTTCTCCCTCCGCCCCACCAGTTTTCGGTCCACAGTCCTTCTCCCTCTCTGGATCCAAAGTCCCCAGCCTCTTCATCACTCCACGTCATTGTCTCTGTCTCCATCTCAGGCATCTCTGTTTCTCTGGGTAGGGTCCCGCTCTCGGCCCTTCTCCGTTGATGGCCCCAGAGACCTCCGCTCTAAGCCTGTAGAATCAATCACTCCCTTCCTTGTTACAAAACGTCTACCTTTGCATTTCCAACCCTCATAGTCTGTCCTGATAAGCATTATTCACTACAGTATCACGAGTTACCCATCTGTATTTCCTTTCATCAGCTCCACCCAGACAGATTGAATAGAACCTTCTGGAGATTCTGCCTTCCTCCATGCTCCCTAGCACTAGGTTCCCTCTTGAAAGCTTGTAAGCCAGTCACTTCTTGCCTTTGTAGTCCCCCCCCCCAGCCCCCGCCATTTGAGTATCCAATGTCCAAGTTGCCCATCTCCGTCCATTCTGTATGTGGAGGGGGTGAGACTGGTTCTCGCTGTATCTCCTTATGTTTTATTCCAGGAACTTTAGAGTTTTGACATTTAGATCTTTGATCCAGTTTGAGTTCATTTTTGTGTATGGTGTGAGGTATGGGTCCTGTTTCATTTTTCTGCAAGTGGGTTCTGCCCGCTCTGTTTATTAGAGAGACGATCTCCACCCCACTGAATGGGCTTTGACCCCTTGTGCAAATGGATTTAGTTCTGCATTCTCAGTCATTTCTCCTACTCTGTTTGTCTGTTGTCGGGCTAGGACCAGGCTGTTTTAATCCCAGTAGCTTTACAGTATGTTTTGGTATCAGGAGCTGACCAACATTCAACACAAAGCTTATCAGCTGATGACACATAGCGGACCCAGGACAGCAATCAGGGCAGGCTTCCTGGAAGCAGTGATATTGAAAGGTGCATTCATTACTGCTTGCCTCCTCCACCAGCTGTAGGACTATGCTACTTTCCCCAGAGAAACAACGGGGCTGGTCAGTGTTGGGTAAAAACGCTGCAACGGGGCTCTCCTCAGACTCAACTTCCCCATCTGAGCACTCAGACTCTAAACCTGGCCTCACTCCAAGGTTGACTGGACGCATTGAAGGGTTGGGGCCTCTGGTTATCCCTGACCTGCTTTTCTTTTCCATCTCCTCTGCAGTGGATCCCATGACCCCTCTTTACCAGTCCCCAACCCAGCTCAGCAACACCTGGGACAGAGACATTCCCAGAACGACAGAGTCTCCCAGACAGTCATAAAAGACTAACGTGCCTGGTTATACATCATCCCTCCTTCTCCTCAAAACCAGAGACCACATGTGGGAATGTTCAGCCTGAGTTCTAGAAGGGGAAATTGAGGCTGGGAGAGAGGGTGAGGTGCACAGATCTGAGATGGGACGGGCAGGAAAGGAGCCTCAGGTGGGGGAACCTGTAGCCCTTGCCTTCCTTCCCTCCTCCCTCCTGGAACCACACCTGTCCATCTGCAGTTTCCTACTACGTTATTGTCACCCACCTCAACATACCTACAGTTATATACGGTTCTGGTTGGTGTCTCCCATCAGAATTTGAGGGCTGGGAGCTTGGTCTCTGGTCACTCCTGGTTCTAGAATTCCTGGTCACTGTCCCGACCTCCAGAGCTCTAGGTCCACTTTGTCCACCAGGTCGGCTTTTAGTTCTAGAAAGAGCCCCTCACCATCCTGGATCATCTATAAATCGAAGGCAGTGGTGGTCAAGACCATTTGGGTTGTGGGGACCAAAATGGTGACGGCAGGAAGGAAGGAACGCAGAGAGTTTGTGCCAAGGACTCGCCCAATAACTGTGGGGTGGTCATTGTTGCCATGATTTTAATTCAGTATCACACGGCAGGTGAATTGAGGCCCGGGTTTGCTAACGGGGCTCCCCAATTCCCCAGATCCGCCAACAGGTGGATCACCTGCCTGCCATGCGCGGGAATGCTGAAGAGGGGGAAGCCCGGTCCCTGGTCCTTGAAGAGGCGGGGCGAGGAGGGCAGAGGGGATGCGGCGGGCGGGCGGCGGTACTAGGAGGAATACGGCGGCGGCGGCGGCGGCCGGGTTGGGCGGTTTCCCGCCGCCGCTGGGTGAATGAGTCGACTGCGCTGCCGCCGCCGCCCGTATTAAAGCTCTGGCCGCGTCCCGCTATCAACAGCTCCCGAGCCTTCGCGCCGAGACCTCTGCGAGTCCGCGGGAGAACCTTCAGTCCCAAGCCACCGCTAGGCAGGTGAGTCCAGGGACACCCCCCACCCCGCCAAGATCGCAGGGGGGAGGGGTTGTTTTGCGAGGACCCCACCCCCACCCCGAGCTGAGTACATGGGTGGGGGGACCGGACTCGGGGGTGAGGTGGGACGTTAGCTCACTGCGCTGTCAAACCCCAGATTCAATGTCTCCGTTTACCCCAGCACAATGCCTGGACCCTGGGCCCGAGGCGCAGCCACAGGTGGGAGCTGGGGGAGGGGGCGGAGCTAGGATACCCCAGGGGCCCACCCACACCCACACCCACATCCACATCCGGGGTGTCTTCCCTTGGGACGGAGCGCGCAACCCTTAAGAAAGCTATTGAGGAGCCTCAGGAAGGGGGTGGGGCGGCTAGGGGCCACTCTCCTCTGTAAGTAAGCCCCCATCCCCAGCCAGAACGTGACCCCACTTTCTGGGCTTCGGTGTTGAGAGTTGAGCGCGAGGGGTGCACTGGTGTACCCCCGACCTGAGTCTCCCAATGACCCTTCACAGCCCCCACTGTCCAGGCAGACCCCCAGGGGAACTTCCTCCTGCCCTGTCCCTGTCCGGTGACCCCCGCCGTGGACTAGTGTCCAGTGTCCTTCTTCCCTCTCTTGACCCTTGTCCTCTCTCTGCAGACGCCGGCGCTCCCATGAAGAAAACCAACATGTGGTTCCTGGAACGGCTTCGGGGTTCGGGTGAAAACGGCGCCACTAGAGGGGACGCTAGTGACAAGGCCTCCAAGGGTCCCCTGTACAGCAACGTGCTCACGCCCGACAAGATCCCCGACTTCTTCATCCCCCCGAAGCTGCCCGCCGGCCCTGCCGAGCCCGAGGCCTCCGCCGAGCTGGGCGCATCCGCCTCGGAGCAGAACCTGGAGACGGCCGCGCCCCGCCGCGCCCCCCGAAGCCCACGGCTCCCCGCCAAGCTAGCGGCCGAGAGCAGGAGCTTGCTGAGGGCGGCCACGCGCCACGTCATCCAGATCGAGAGCGCAGACGACGCGCCTGGCGACGATGCAGCGACGGGCCCCGAACCCCCGGCCCCGGGCACCAGCTCCTTGCCCTCGGTGCCCAAGGCGCAGACCTCGTACGGCTTCGCCACGCTGGCCGAGAGTCCACACACGCGACGCAAGGAGTCCCTGTTTCACAGCGAGCACGGGGCGCTAGCCCAGGTGACCTCGCCTGGCTCTGCGCGTCGCCGGGCGGCCGCCAAGACCAATGGGGGCAACGGCTCAGCCAGAGAGGGGGGCGCGGCCCTGATGAGCCCCGGCCGCTACTTCAGCGGCGGCGAGAGCGACACCGGGTCCTCCGCCGAGTCCTCCCCTTTCGGATCGCCGCTGCTGTCTCGCTCTGTGTCTCTCATCAAGGGCTTCGCCCAGGACAGCCAGGCCAAGGTGAGCCAGCTAAAGCACTCGGTGGGCCGCCACGGCTCCCTGTCCGCCGACGACAGCACGCCGGACACCAGCCCTGGTGCACGACGTCGCCTGAGCCGCCGCGCCGCCACCCCCGAGCCGGGGCCCGAGCCGCCGCGTGTGGAACATGCAGTGCGCCTGGGCCCGCGGGGCAGCGTGCGGCTGCTAGCCGAGTATGAAGCGGCCCAGGCCCGGCTTCGCGTGCGGCTGCTGGCCGCTGAGGGCCTCTATGACCGCACGTACGACGCGCGCACCATCAACTGCTGCGTGGGGCTTTGCCTGGTACCCGGTAAGCTGCAAAAACAGCGCAGTACCATCATCAAGAACAGCCGCCACCCAGTCTTCAATGAGGACTTCTTCTTCGACGGGCTGGGGCCGGCCAGCGTCCGCAAGCTGGCGCTCAGGATCAAGGTGGTCAACAAGGGCAGCAGCCTGAAACGGGACACACTGCTGGGGGAGAAAGAGGTGCCCCTGACCACCTTGCTCCCTTTCTTGTAAAGGGCCCAGGGAGCCCACCCCCCCAAACCCCCTGGGAGTCTCCCCCTCTCCACGCAGGCCCCATGGGCAGGTGGGATCACACTCAGGCTGGGTTTAACCCTGATGCAGTCTCCTGGGCACTGGGGGCCCACAGCAACCAGGATATTCTATTTCATGAGTCAATGAGGAGGAGAGGGGTTGTGGAGGAAGAGACAGGGGACAGTTCCAGGGGCTTTGTGCCGCAGGTTTCATGTCCCCCCCCCCTTGACACCCTTTCCTCACTAGCTGAGTGAGGCACAGTAGTGTGAGAGCTCAGTCCTTCATGGCATGGTGTGGTCCCTGCTACACCCCGGAGAGAGCAAAGCGTCCGGGCCCCTTGGACTGACTCTGGGTGCAGTGTGTGGGAGCCAGACAGAGAGAGGCAAGGCAGGATGAGGGCAGCCCTGGCCCAGCTAAGAGCTGTGGGCACCTGCCAAGAGTAAGTAAGGTGGGCCTAGGGGCTTCTCTTCACGGGAGTCAGCCCTCCACCACTCAGTCTTCTGCCTCAGCTTCAGTCCTCCCTGTCTGGCCAGAGTGGCCCTGTTCCTGCTGGGTCATCTGGAATCACCCTTGGTGGGCAGATTGCTCAGAAGGTCCCCAGAGAAGAGCTCACTGCCCCTGGCCCCCCTCCGTGTCCCTCCAAGGCTGGGAGCTGCCACCTCAGGGCCACCCTCTGGCACAGGTGGCCAGACTGTGTTCAGAAACTGAGGCCCACAGACCCATGGCTAGAGCCTTCACTGCACCAGTATAAACAGGTTAGGGTAGGTGGTCAGGTGAGGCCATGGAGGCCTGCTGAGTGGTTGCAGGGTTTAATTGCTGTATCAGATGAATGGGCCCATGAAGGTGGGCTTTCAAACTCAGTATGAAACAAAGAAATTCCGTTTTGAAACAGGGGCCAGCCCTGCCTCCGCCTCCTTTCTGATGGGTATGTCCAACTAGGGATGGTCTTTGGCCTGTCAGGGATGCTGAGTGTAGACAACAGCTCCTTCACCCAGTCCTAGTGGGAGTCAGGGTGAAGTTAGGGCAACATTCAACAAAGGGGGTGATAGTTGCCTGGGATTTGAGGAGAGCATTTTCTCCTGTTTCCTTGGGATTTAGAATGAGGGACGGCTCTTGGACCCCCCTTCCAGCCTCCAACCTGGACCCTGCTCCTCCTTGCCTCTTTGGCTCTGTAGAGGCTCTCCCTTCATGCTGGAATTCTGGGATGGGGGAAACAGTCCCCAGGGTGGAACCTCCTTGGGCTGGAGATGGAAGTGCCCTGAAACCCTCCACCCACTCTTTCCTTCTGACCCTGACCTCTCCCATCCCTGTTCTCCCTCTCGGGGGTCCCGTTTTATATACCCTTGCATTGTTTCATATGTTTGTGTTTGGAAGTGACTGTGGATAATTCTTGAAGCATCCCCCACCCCCTGAGTGTGTTTGTTTATAAATGCCGTTTTTAGTGCAATAAAGGTGTTTCTGGAATGTGGGGGTGGAGCTCCTACTTGCTCTACTGTTTAATAACAAGAGAAGAATTTCACCTTGAATTCCAGGGACAATGGGGCCCTAGTGATTGGAAAAGTTCCTTGTTGCTCTGTCAGATCCTCCTCCGTCTCAGCTTTCTTGCTTGGGAGGAAAGCAGGGAGTCGTCACGCTTCTGTTACTATCAGAGAGACCCCAGACCCCTGTTAAAACAGCAACTGATCTTTACTCAATGTTTATATTCAACTCACCTCATCCTTACCCCCAAAGCGGGGCTGCCCATGGACATATTTTGCAAGTGCAGAAGCTGAGCCATTTGACAACATCTAAGTAACCCGCCCAGGATGGGAGTCAGGATTTGAACCCAAGCCCTCATGTATGACCACAGAGAGAGAGGTACCAGGTCTGTAGTTTGTAGAAGGTTGGACATGGAGTATAATCGCCATGGGTGACCCCTCTGAGGCTGGGAACTGCCAAAGCTGGGGAGAAGCCTCCACCAATCTGTCCCGGCCCCCCTCCACACCACCTGGCACGAACCAGAAATAGAGTGTTTCCATCTCATCCTCCTCTCCTCCAACCTGGAGACCCCAGGGGCCAGAGGCAGGGGGAGAGCCTACGCTTAGAACCTCTACCCCCAATTTCTCAGCAGACTTCTGATTTTAGTGAGATGACACCTCCCCCAGGAAGCCCTCTGAGTGTCTTTCCTCTGTGTCTCTCCCCAACCTCATCCCCGAGGTGTGAGGCTGGGGCTGTGTCTGTCTCCCTCACTAGGTGATCCCACAATAGTGCCAGGCACCTGAGGTGGGAGTGGGCTTAGTGAGTGGGCTTACTGAGGCCAGTGGTGGGGAGGGGCTGGCGGCGGCAGTGGTAGAGTGGTCCCACCAACGTGCACCCTATTCTCTTCTGATGGAAAATTCCCACCACATTGGCCTCCATTCTGATGGAGTGTCCTGAGCTCAGCTTCTCGGGGGGCCCCTTGAGTGGAAGGTACGGCAAGTTGGAGAGTGGGTTCCCTGGGTGGCCTCCAGGGAGGCAGGAGATGGAAAAGGGGTGTTGTGAAGACTCCAGCCTGTGGGAGTGTGAAGGTTCAGCTCACGTGGGGTTCGGTTACTCAGACTTGGTTCTACCTCATGGAGGGGGAGACAAGGCCCAGAGAGTCTTGTTGAGTCAGTGAGCTGGGAGGAGAGACAGGAGGGAAGCTGCTGAGTGGCAGAGGGAAGGAGGAGGCATCAGGGTGCTCAGAGGCAGGGGGAGAGCAGGCCAGGGGTGCTCAGGCTGCACTCCCATACAGCACCCTCACTGGGCATGCGTGGGGTACCCTCAGCCAGCCTGTCCCAGGCTGCCCACTTTGGAGTGGCCACAGGTATGGTCAAGTCTGGAACTGGCAGGCTGGGTGACCCTGCCAGGCTGAGTGGGCATCAGGGGGAATGTCTGAGCCTTCTCCCATCGAGCACTTATTGAACTTCTAATGTATGCTCTGGTGGCATAGTGGTTATGAATCAGGCTGCGAACCTTAAGGTCAGCAGTTCGAAACTACCAGCTGTTCCGTGGGAGAAAGATGAGGCTTTCTGCTCCCGTAAAGATTTACAGCCTCGGAAATCCTGTACAGGGTCGCTATGAGTTGGAACCGAGTCCACGGCACATAACAACAACAATGTATGCTGGAAACACGACACTTCTGCTGCCCCACATAGGGGACACCCACCGAGGGTGGGGGCACTGAGACGTAGCCCCAAGTGCACAGATGCCGGGGTTCCCTGTTCCTTCCTCCAGCACCTGTGGATTGTCCACCTCCCAATGAGGGTGCAGAGGTTCAAGGGCAGGGCCATGCCTCTGGCCTCAGGCCCCACCCCCTGGGCCCAGATGGCTGGTCTTCTAAAGGCACCTTTGTGTGGAGTGAGGGTCTGGATGGAGCAGCCCCCACCATCGACAGCCAGATGACAAGGCCGCTTGTCCCTGGAGGTGTTGCCAGGGCAACCGGGTGCCTTCTCGCCTCTTCCCACCAGTTGCTTGGCACTGGGCTGTCTGTGTGTGAGTGTGTGTGTGTCCACATGCACACACATGTGTGTGTCTTGTGTATGCATTCCTAAGTGCACACATGTGCTGTATACATGTGTGTGTGCACAAATATGCCAAGTGTGTGTATGACTTGTGCAGGTATGTACGTGTCACAGCCTGCATGTGATTTGAGTGTGCGCGTGCGTGTGTGTGTGTGGTGGTGTGTATATTTGTAACTGTGTGTCTGTGTGGGACTCTAAATGTGAGTGTGTGAGTCTGTGCATGACCGTGTGTGGCTGTGTAACTGCAAATGTGACGATCATACGTGTGGACATTTGTATACACGTGTGTCCAAGTGTGTGCAAGCAGCAAATGGCTGGCCACACCTGGACATAGGATCAAGGGCCGCTTTCTCTGGCCATCCTCCCTAGCCCTTCTGATGTCTGAGCCCCTGCCCTGTCCCTTCTCTGCCTGATGACCATTTGAAAGGCTCTTCCTTGATGATTCTGATCCCAACCCCCAGCCAGATAGGGGCTCTGAAGGCAGGAGCAGGTGGCCTTGTACATATTTGTTTCAAAAATAAATAAATAAAATAACTGAATTCTGAGTCCATTACTTCAGAGCGCAGCCAAAGGATTCTTGGAAAATACAAAAGGCTTTGTGCCTCCGCCCTCTGAGCCCTCTGTGGCTGCCCGGTGCCCTCAGGGCTCGGATGAGGTCAGACATGTTGGTGTAATCAGTCCCTCCTGAATGAGTCACTTGTCTGCACCTATGGCTTCAGTGGGTCTTGTGCAAATGAGGGGAGAGTGTGTGTGTGTGTGTGTGTGTGTGTGTGAGTATTCTCTCCTTCCTGGATGCAGCCATCCTGAACCTTCCTACCCTCTGGCAGGTCTGGACATCCAGGATCTTTCACACGGACCCTGTAGGGGTTCCAAGGCTACAAATCCTTCCAAGAGCAGACAGCCTCCTCTTTCTCTTCTGAAGCGACTGGTGGGTTTGAACCTCCGAGAGCTTGACCCACAGCATCAGTAAGGCTCCTTTAGTTGTAAGACACGTGATGCCAATTGGAAAAGGGCTCCCACCTCAGCATGGTACCTGCAAGGGGTCTAACCAATGCTGAGAGACAGGTAGTCAGATGCTTGGACATGCTGTGGACACCTGTATCCAGCTATACCTGAAGCCTGGGACCACTCAACACAGAGCTGCCCTGGGGGTGAGAAAGGGAAGCTGGGGGCAGAGGTGGTATCTGGACACCCTCCAGAGCTGGGAGGGAAATGTGGAAGTGAGGTGTCAGGCTCCTATTGGGGGCGGGAGGCGGGGAGTATCAGGGCAGACTTCTTGGAAGGCCTCTAATTCAGGATGGAACAAGAAAAGGGCCACTGATACGACACAGTTGTCCCCAAAGTTGAGGAAAAGTCCCCACACACAGCTGCTTACCCCACTGTGCATTCCAACTCTTAGTGCCAGGGTTTTCAAGACTGTAAATCTTACAGAAGCGGACTGTAGCATCCTTCTCTCTCAGA